CCTGTCATCGAGTCCTTTGGCTTCACCAGCGTGCTGCGCGCCGCCACCTCGGGACAGGCCTTCCCCCAGGTGGGCACTCCTGACGGGCCGCCGGCCCCCGGGCCGGGGCAGACAATACGGGGCGTCCGCCCCGGCGGCGTCCCGCAGATCTGACCCCGACCGCAGCCGCTTTCGCCCGGGATTTGGAATCTATTCATCATACCCACATGAGCGCCCCGCGCTAGACTTCGGCTTTCGACGACCCTGCTAACCCCCAACCCCGCCCGCATTCCTCAACACCCCCCGCAGTGTGTGTTTGACCACTGGGAGGTCATGGGGGCCGACCCCATGCAGGCCGGCTCCCAGGCCCACACCCTGGTGGCCGACATCCGCAAGCGCAAGGGCATCAAGCCCGAGGTGCAGCCCCTGGGGGAGTACGAGGACAAGGTGAGGGGGCGGGCAAAAGGGGGGGGGCGCCCTTTTCACGCTGTGCACGCTCTTGCACGCTGCGTGCGCTTTGAACGTCGCGCACGAATTGCATGCTGCGCATGCGTCGGGTCGCTCGTGAAATGCATGCCGTGGCCGTGTGGGAGGGCGGGGCTTTGCAGGCCCGGCAGGCGGGACCTGTTGGCTGCCTCAGGCGTGCAGCTGGCTTATGTCGGGCGGCTTTGGGGGCTCCCAGCCTTGTCGCGCCCACGCTGCTCCTCCATGACAGCGCCGCTCAACGCCGCTCCACCTCTCCCTCCGCCCTGCCCCGCTCCGCGCACCGCAGCTTTGAGCACGCCCCTCCTGCGCCGGCTTCCGCTGCGGCGGCCAGATGCTTTTTGTGTACGCCCACCCCAAGGCGAAGAGCAGGGCGGCTGCAGGGGACGTGGCTGCAGCTGCAGCGCCGCGGCGTCGCTGCGACCATCCGCCTGCCGAGCGGGTCGTGTGCCCGAGGGCACCCCTTGCAACGGCGACTGGCCCCGTGCGCCCTGGCCGCCAGCCCCTTGTCCTGTCTTTCTTTTTTGCCTCTCTCTTCCTGTCTCTGTTTCTGCTTTTCCCTGCCTATGTCTGTGCCTCTGTCTTGTGTACTGCGCTGTGTAACATCAGTCCAGGCCAGGCTGCTGCTGGGTGATTTGAACTGTTGAGGTGGTCCCGTGCGCGAGCTGCTGGGGAAAATGATTTTGCAAACGAGTCGGTCGAATCGGTTCAGTTTGAGTTACTCCAGATACTCGCGCTGCTGCGCACAGAAAGCAGGGCCACGCGCGCCTGGCGCGAGCGGCGGGGGTTTGGGAGCGCACGGGCGCGGCCGCCCGCGCGACAAGAGGGGGCGCGCCCCCCGCGGCCGCAGCCGCCGCAGGGGCCCGCCCCCGCCGCGCCTGCCCGCGCCGCCCGGCCTGTGGCGGCGGCGGCGCGTGCGAGGCAAGAGGGAAGGGGGCTCAGAGCAGGAGGCACAACAAAAGAGAGAGAGAGGGGAGTGGAACAGGAGAGGTGCACTTTTTGCGTCGCGAAGCCCGTGGCGGCGTCGCAAGTACACAGGCGCCGGTCGCCGGGCGCACGACCGTGCGGCGGCCTTGTGGCGATCGCGGGGGAACGGCGCGGGGCACACCCCTCGATCCGCCCCCCCACAAACGGCTGGACAAGCATGGTACACGCCTCTCGTACAGATTAAAATGTACACCCTAGCGCCGCGCGCGCCTTGCTCGCGCTGCGCGCCGCGTGCCGCCGGGGCGAACACCTCGCCGCAATGTGCGGCGGGGGGCGTCCCGGCCGCGTAGGCGCGGGGTGGGATGCGGGCGGCAGCGGCGGCTGCTGTTGTTGCCGCGCTGCTGCCGTGCAAAACGCAACATGCCGCGGCTGGCCCGCGGCGCAGTCTCTTATGGGTCAGCAAGGTGGCGGGTCGGAGGCGCACAGCACCGCGGGGCGAGAGCGGGGGCCGGGGGCGTGGAGCACGGGCGCCTGGCATCAAAACGTGGCAGCCGCCGGGTGCGCTGACCACTAATGGGTCCGGCCCCGCGGCCTGGGCGGCGCCACTCAAACGCTGCGGCCCCGCCGGAGTCCTGCGCGTCGGCAGGCCGCGCCGAGGCGCCCCTGCAGGCTCTGCCCCGCCGCGCCGCCCCGGGCGGCCGCGCGGCCGCCCTGGCGTCGCCCTCACGCCTTGCCGTTCATCTTCTGCAGTATGCGCTTCCCGTGGGGCGTGCCCCGTAGGCTGGCGACGTAGGGCCGTATGGCCTCCACCAGGTCCTGGTGCAGCTGGCCGCTGGACACCGCCAGGGCTGACTGGACGACTGGGGGGTTGTGGGGGTTTTTGGGGGTTTGGGAGGCGGGGTTCAGGGTTTTGGGGGTCTCTGAGGGAGGAGGGGGAGGGGGTCGCCCGCACCGCACCACCAACGCGCCGCCGGCGGACGGCTCGAACGCGGCCCGGGCCGTCGGACCCCCCTCCTGTTCCCCCAAAAAGCGAAGTCAACATGCTTCCCCCCTCCCCCAGACACTGCAAAAAGAATAATCAGCCCCCTGCCCTCACCATAGTTCCCGTAGCTGTCCTGCAGCAGCCGCGGCAGCAGCGGGCTGACCATGACCTCCCGTATCACGTCCTGCCGCAGCTCGACGAGGCCCCCCAGCTTGAGGCACTTCTCGACCACGTTGCTGCTGAACTTCTGCATCGACAGCTCCCCGTAGTGGCCCATGAGCGCCTTGATGACGCCGCCGCTGGCCTCGTCCTGGCCCAGCTCCAGGACGTACTGCACCACGTAGTTGCCAAACGCGTCCTGGGGGGGGGTGGGGGGGGG